CATTTACTTTGGATCTTCAGTCAAATTCAGGGGCATGGTAGGGTAGAAGCCAAACTGCAAGGAGTGAGTGAATGGGAAATGCAGAAGTGGAGTCAGTGAGGGGAAGCTGTTTTTAAGGACAAAGTTTGAATGTGACAGGCAGGACATGTGGTTGAGAGAGAGTTCTGAATATTGAGAGAAACTTGAGTCATAGGGAAGGAGATCACAGAAAGAAGCTTGAAAATGCAAGAAATATGTGAAAGAATGAGGTAGAGTCCACATATTGTATTTGAGGCATAGTTACTGTTCTGTGAAATTAAAAAAACAATTATATAAGTCACTTTTGTGTAAAACAAACCTTCCATGGTTCTGTATCTTTATGTATGCTGTATATCTTTATAGATTATGTTTGTCTTATGTTACAAATTCCTATTTGTGTGAGGAGAGAAAAGATCTGGAAACATATTAGCAAAGAAGATATTACCCTAGAGAGGGTGGTCTTAGGGGTCAGGGAATGGAAGGCAATAGGTTGGGGGCATGGATGATAGGGTGGAATATAGGTCAGCTGGATGAAAGGTTTTTATATTGTTTTAAGATTCTGTGATGTGAAAGTAAAATAATGAAATGTTCACAAAAATACAAAAAAACTGAATTTACTGGCTTCTTTGGGTTTGGAAGGGCCATTTCTTCTTCTGGGATAGGACAGGAGAAGGACTGCAGACACTGATCTATGTGGCAAAATAGATATGGAAAATCAAGGAGGCTTGTGCTTATATGCTTGTAATGCAGACAAATATCTGAAAGTGTCCAGGATGGGGGCTTCTTGGGGCACTTTGATGAATAAATGGGGGCAGTGGATTGGGCATGGGGGGAGAGAAAATGATCACCACACTGCAGTTCCACAGTAGGACAGGACCCAACTGAAAGAAAATTTAGGGGAAGGATCTCAGGGATCTGGTAGGAAAAGGAAGAGGGGTAGATCCAGAATGAACCACAGACAAATCTCTTAGGTGTTACAACTTGCCACCCACTCATTGCAGTGCATTGTTATGTGCAGAAACAGTACTTACAAAAACCAGGCATGTGGACAAAGATGTTACTCACACCTTTCTTCTAGGTTTGTAGCATCTTTTTATTTGCTACTCCATTATGGACAAACTGAACACTAGTTATATTTTGTTTTCAGGTCCAATAAGCCCACAGTGCAATTTCTGGCAACCCAGTATTTACCTGCAAATACTTCAGAGTTTAAAGGAAAGTTCAACTTACTTCAGATCTTTGATTTTACATTATGGATTACACAGTGCTTGGCAAAGCAAGTGTAGCTGAGACACTAGGAAACTGTGAATCTAAAAGGACCTACAAGAGATGAGAAAACAAAAATAATTTTAAAACTTTAAGCAAAAAGTTTATTTTGGCTTATTTTTCTATGCTAGTATTAATTGACTCTTCTAAAACCTTAGAAGATGTCACCCCATGTTGCAGATTAGGGAATTGGGCACAAAAAGTTAAGCAATTTGGTCAAAATCATATAAGTTGACAAAGAACTGAGACTATTAATCGGGTCTTACTCCAAATCCATGCTACTATGTGCCAGGCATCAAGGTTATCTGGCTCTTAACATAATGACTATTATAATCATGATTTTAAAACTTTTGTTTTATATAGTTATACATTACCGTGGGGTTTATTTCAACATATTCATAAATTCATATAATTTGCTCAATTTCAATCCTTAGTGCTTCCATTTTCTCTCCCTCCCTCTCTCCCTCCCATAATCCCTCTCTCTACTGGTTCTCCTTCTATTTATTTATTGGCTTTTAAAATTATAATCACCTCTCTCTTACTCTCTTGCTCTCCCTCTCTCTCTTACTCTCTCCTCTCTCTCCCCCCCTCCTCTCTCCCCCTCCTCCCTCTCTCCCCCCCCTCCTCTCTTCTCTCTCTCTCTCTCCCCCCTTCTCCTGTGACTGGCTGCTACAATCCTGCTAATAAAATCTTGGACAGGTAAACGGTTTTTTTGGCTTGTTGAGTTTACGGATCTTTTCCTCCATTCTTTACGTTGGTGCCGAAATTCGGGACGGGGATCCCCATGGCTCAAGACAGAACCCTGTTCTCAAACTCCGAACCCAGCCATTCCTGTCGTAGTCCACTCCTCTGATCGCCTGCCTGACATCCACCACCAGCAGCCTGCAGATTGTTCTCAGTGGACACAACATCTTTGTTTGTATGTGGTGCTGAGGATCGAACCCAGGCCGTACACATGCCAGCTCCTCCTCAGGTATTACCAGCTACTGGCCAATGAGCCAGACCAAATGCACATCCAATCATCCCAAGAAATCTCCACTGAGTGCTGAAAGATGAAGATACCAAATGACAACTCCACCGAAGGGCCCTCTCTCCCCACCATGCCAAAAAAAAATAAGCCCTTGATTTTCAGCTTTATGTTCTAATCTGCCTTCTCCTGGGCATAGGCTTTTTTCTACCATCCCTACAGACTGGATGACATGCCAGAAATTAATGCTGTTTCTTTCATAGTTGCAGGGCACATTCATGGACTTCTCCCTGGAGGAAATCCATGCCTTCAGTGCATGGATATGGGGCCTCCTGGCCCTTCTTCTCCAACCAACTGACCTCCCTCCCTCCCTCTAAATGATGCCCCTACTCAGCAGGAAGTAGCCAGATCAAGTATGATACCCCCAAACCAAAACAAAAAAGGGAGGAATGTTGGTAAAGATGGCGCCCGGAGTGCTTCTCTTCCGGGAGCTCAGGAGTGTTGGTAAAGATAGCACCCGGAGGTGCTTCTCTTCTAGGAGCTGAGGTCTATGATGCACTGAATGGTGCGCAAACCATCACCTCCAGTCTCTGTGAATGACACAAAATTTGAATGGCGCACCTCCAATCCCTGAAGTGGCACGAACTCTTGGCCAATAAAGAAGTAACAGCTCACTTTCCTTGCTCCTCCTCATCCGTGTTAAGCCCATAAATATCAACACCTTCTTCGTGTTCGCCCTCTTACTCTCCCTCTCTTACTCTCTTGCTTTCCCTCTCTCTCTCTTACTCTCCTCTCTCTCTCCCCCCTCTCCCCCCTCCCCCTTCTCTTCTGTGACTTGCCGCTAGGGTCCTGCTAATAAAATCTCAGACAGGTAAAATAAATAAATAAATAAAATTATAATCACCACTTTGCAGATGTTCTAAGAGATCAAGTGACTTCCCCAAGCTACCTGTATAATATAACTGATTCTTGGTTGTCCGTTCAAGTAGAAAAACTAATTATAGTAATTGAAACTCAAGTTTAAGTTCAACAGTGTACTCTCACTTCACCAATATGCTAATGTTGGGAAAGGAATGTTCTGGCTTAAATTTTGACAGGCATTTAAGCCCTATGATAAAAGCAATAAAGGCAGGGGGTGGAGACTCCATCTAAAGTTGACTTTCTGGAAACCCAGAATTAATCAGAAGCCCCTTTTGTTTCCATCTCTCAAATGTATTTGAGAGTTTTCTAAATCTCTCAAATGTATTTGTCAATTATTTTACTTTATAATATACAACGATTTCATTGGGACCTTATAACCAAGATCCTTCATAATTATTTGTTAACCTCTCCTACCCCTGTCCCTGCTAGTTCTAAACAAACTCTTCTTGCACTCTCTGTCCCTCCCTATTTCCCTCAAACACAAATTCTCCATTGCCCATTACCACCTCTATGCTACAGCCAGCTGAGGAAATCTATAAGAGCTAAGAATAGGATTAATGCATTCCTCTAAGAGATCTTTCTGTTCACTCTTCTCCTCAAGGTCCCCTACCACTCAGCTGGCCCCACAATAAGGAAGAGGCATTGTCCTTCATAACTCAGATATTGGGAACAGATTGATATAGTTATTCATTGCTTTAATCAGTCAATAGAACTATTTTATATAGTGTACAGAATCCATACTATAAAAAGGAAGTAGAATTGCATTTTATCGTATACAGAGAGTTCATATTATTATAGTGGTTTACCTATGTCTCTTTGAACTTCAGCTCTCAGTCCTCTATAAAGGTCTGGTAGGAAGAGCTCAGGTGTTACAGAAAGATACACAGACATGTAGCTCCTCTTCTTAACCTGGAAATTTTTGAGGCCTCAGTGATGAAGTATACATGCAGAAGAGTGACAACCAATCCAATGTTAGGTTTGCAAACTTTCCCAGAATGGTCACTGACACCAAAATCGTGGATCTTGAAGATTTTAAATGCTTATAACACTTTATAATGATAAAGCACATCCACAGAGTGACAATGAAGACTAATGTGCACGTGCACATCACACACAAAACACACACACACACACACACACACACAGCGCCCAGTACATGGTAAGTGCTCAAAAAACTAGCTTTCCTCATTGTTTACCTAGGCTAGTGTTCAATGCATGGTAGATAATCAGTAAATCCTTACATTATTGACTGACATAAAATATGGAAAGCTGAGGTGATTACTTCTACTTATTGATGACACTTGAAATGATCATATGCCTAAGTACTTAAAATAAATAAGTAATAAAAAAAAGAAATAAGGCCAAAAAAACTAGAGGAAGGATATGAATATACTTACTGATTAAATGTTAAGGCTGTTGGCATTAATGCCATGGTTTTTTCTTCCTCCTCAACCCAAGTAGGTGCTGACACTTCAGAGACATTGAAAGAGGACTGTGACTGCTTTTTACACAGAACGACATAGCCAGAATGTCCATTTTTGTATAGGTAGATTAGAGTAGTACAATTGACTGTAAATTATCAATTATCTTTTTTGCATATTCTTATTCCTGTATCTCATACAACCAGTGAAACAAGTCCACTGATTTAATCTGTAATCTAGAAGATTTATCCTTTGTTTTCCTTTTGGTCCACTTCAATAACTCTTCTTGAAGTCCTGGAGAGACTTTTCTCCCAAAAGTAGTTTCCACAGTCTTTGCTTTTCTGTTATGTAAGAGGCCAAATAAAAAGTGTATCATTGGTGATGAAAACCCTTTTCCATATTGTTGGAATATTTCTTGCCATGTTTTTCCCACATGACAAAAAATATCATTTTTCTGTCAGTCTTCAGGGCATAGAACACAGCAGTCAGGAATTCTTGGAAACTGAAGTGAAGAAAAGTATAGACATTGACATCTCCTTCATTTTTTTTAGAAAATGATTGAGAAAAATGCAGTCAGTATCATAAACTCCTATTTGATGTTTTCCTAGGTCACTAAATGCAAACATAACCCGATGCTTCTGTAGACCCTCCACAGCCAAAGAGCAAAGGCCCCACAGGCAACTTTGTCCCTTCCACATTGATATGCCTATAAGGGTTTTGAGGCTCTTAGAAAAGTAGAACAGATACATGTCAGTGGTCTTAAGGGACTGCAGAAGAGTTCTATCAACAACTTCCTGTGACTGCAGGATACTTCATAACATCCAGGAATCAATTGGAAGAGAAGATATAATGTCAAGGCCTTCACTGTCTTGCAAACCATAGAAGATTTTCATAGCTGCATTAGCACCTGAAAACTGACTCAAGAAATATGCTCTTTTTTCAGCATCTGTAAACTATAGGACTTCTGCCTGGATAGGTTGCTTTAACAGAGAGTGGAGTTTCTTCATGGCTGTGAGCCGGGCAGTTATTAGGAGAGAGGATTCAGGAAAGTTTTTCTTCACCAAACTGCACAAGAGTATCTCTACTGGCTTCCTCTCCTGGGGATTATCAGTAAGATCCTCTTCTTGGTCACCCCCATGGTATTGCAGCTCAGAAAATCCATCAAGAATAAATAGAAGTTTCTCTGGATATAGAAGTATAATGTCCAGGATTGGTCCCTTTATGTCTTGAAATATGTTAGTGATCAGGTCAACAGCACTAAGATTATTAGTGTGGCTGATTTCTCTGCAACTGACATAAATGAGATAGTCAAATCTGCCTGGAGTGACCATTCCTGCTGCCCAGTCAAACATGAATTTGGGAACCATAGCTGTTTTCCCAGTCTCAGCACATCCCTGAAGCACCAGAGTTCTGGATGAGCTGAAACCTTCTTCATTAGGATTAAATACATGTTCCATCTTAACAAAATGATATTGTTGAAGAATTCCACATGGTGTCTTTTCTGATACACAATTCTCTTTTACAAGAAGCAGCCGTGACTCTACATGCTTGCCATGGTGATAACATTTATCAACTCCTATTTTTAGGTGTTTTTCCTTTAGATGTTTTCTGTATATTTCCTGGTAGTCTAATGAGGTGACACCAAGAGTAAATAATCACAGAATCGTAGACAGCAATGCAAACAACAACTATGACTAATACCACCATCACTACCATCTCTTCTTAGATGACTCAAAGGCTCTTCAAATTTTACATGTCTAAACCTGAGCTCTTGATTTATATACCTACCTAGCCCCAGTGCCCACAAACTACTCTCACCCAGACACCTTTTATCTCAGTTAAATGATGCCATCTGGGGCTGGGATTGTGGCTCAGCTGTAGAGAACACACCTAGCATGGGAAGGACCTGGGTTTGATTCTCAGCACCACATAAAAATAAAGGCATTGTATTGTGTTCATCTACACCTAAAAGATAAATATTAAAAAAAAGAGATTTTTAAAAATGATGCCATCTAATTGATCAGAAAAACTTTGAGATGTTTATTTTTTCTTTCAATTATCTATGTCAATTAATAAGGTCTATTATTCATACCTTCAAAAATAAGCCTTAGCAATCATCAAGAATACAAGTATCAGGCCAGGCGTGGTGGCAAAAGCATATAATCCCAGCGGCGCAAGGGGCTGAGGCAGTAAGGGGATTTCTGGAAAGCAGTAAGGAGATTTCTCAAAAGACTAGAAATGGAACACTACCATTTGACCTCATTATCCCACTCCTCAGTATATATTCAAAGGATTTAAAATTAGTGATACAGATACATCAATGTTTATAGCAGCTCAATTCACTAAGCTATGGAACCACCTAGGGGTTCCTCAACAGATGAATGGATAAAGAAAACGTGTATATATACACAATGGAGTATTACTTGGCCATAAAAAATGAAAGTATGGCATTTTCTGGTAAATGGATAGACCTGGAGACTACCATGCTAAGTGAAATAAGCCAGACCCAAAAAGTCCAAGGTTGAATGTTTTCTCTGATATATGGAAGCTAGTCCAAAATAAGGTGGGGAGGTTGAAAATTAAAAAAAAAAAAAAAACGATAGGTGTGGTGGTGCATACCTGTAATTTCAGTAGCTTGGGAGGCTGAGGCAGGAGGATCTCAAGTTCAAAACCAGCCTCAGCTACTAAGTGATGCCCTGAATAATTTAGTGAGGTCTTGGGCAGCTTACTGAGACCCTGTCTCAAAATAAAATATAAAAAGGGCTGAGGATAGGTATCAGTGGTTAAGTGCCCCTGGGTTCAATCCCTGGTACCAAGAAAAAAAAAAGACGACCAGTGGGGTAGGAAAAAGGAAACAAAGAGAAGGGTAGTGGGATGGGATAGGGAAACACAGTGGAATGAATGTAACCTAACATTCCTATGTACATATATGAATATACTACATTGAATCTCTCCATCATGAGCACCCACAAAACAAATTAAAAAAATTAAAAGTAAATAGCAAAAAGATCAAAGTAATACAGAGAAGGGAATAGGGGGTGAGAGGAAGAGAAGGGAAGGGGAAATACTGGGGAGTGAACTAGAACAAATTTTATTCCATGATTCTCTAATTATGTCAAAATAAATCCTATTGTCATGTATAACTAAAAAGAACTAATAAAAATAAAATTTAGAAATGAAATTTAATAAAAATTTTAAAAACATAAGCCTCAAATTCATTTATTTATCAGCATGTCCTCAAGATCACATAAGTCCAAGGTACTATGAACTCTACTGGACTGCTGAAACAGACTCCTACTTTTCTACTCTTATCTATCTGATCCAAGTAGCCAAAGTGAGTTTCTATAAACATCAATTAGATCATGTCACTGCCCTGTCCAAAATAGTTCAAGAGCTTTTCATTGCACTTGGTCTAAAAAACAAAATCCTTATTTCATCCTACAAGGTGTTCCATTATCTGGACCCTACCTACCTCCCCTCCCCAGCCTCATTTTATATCATTCTCCTTACTTCCTCCACTAAAGCCTCTCATAAATACCATTTTCTCTCCTACTTCAGAGCCTTTTCACTAGCAGTCCTTTCTACCTTGAATATTCTTCCTCCTGTTCTTTCCATGGTGAGTTTCTTCTTATACTTCTGATCTCAAATAGGACTTCTCAGAAGAGATTCTGCCTGGCCACCAAAATTAAGATTCATTCCACTATTCCTCTTACCAGCACCCTATTTTTCCCGGTATGTCACTTATCACAATTTATAATTATCTTATTTTTTGCTTCAATTATTTGTCTTCCCCACTAAATAATAATCTAAATGACAACAAAGGTCTTATCTATCTTTTTCACCACAGTACCCAGAATACCTAGCACAGTAGCCAGCACATAGTGGACACTAAATACATATTTATTGAATATGGCTATTAATGCTTTTGAATTAAAAGCAAGTCATTTATTATTAAATATTCTGTGCTTCATATTGTGCTTGGCCCTTTACATACATTTCTGATTTAATTCTCAAAACAATCTTAAAAGTTAGGTATTGTCCACATTTGATAGTTGAAGAAATTCAAACATATAACCAGGACTGGCTTCTGGAGTGTGTGTCAGGTCTTCATGCTCAAGACCCATGCTTGATTTAATATTCAGTTATTGCTGTCTTGAAATTCTTAACATTTGAACAAGAGATCCTGTGTTTTCACTTTGTACAAAACTGCAAATTATATAGCCAGTCCTCCTTATGGCATTTGGTAGCTCGATCAATTCTGGTAAATGAAAGAGCTTTAATTCTGATCCAGGTTTATCTGAGGTTTATGTGCTTAAACACTATATTAAGTAGCTTTTCACCTGCATCTAGAAAAAGTACCTCAGGAAATCAGATATCCAGTTCAAACTACTGTTATGTGAATGTCTACACAGCATTTTCCAAATGAGTTGTTCCTTAGAACATTATTATGCGATATATTAGTAAGGAAAGCTGTAAAAAGGTGTTCTGTGACCAAATAAATTGAGGGAAATGCACCCTCTTTCCCCTGAGTTTCTAAATGTTAGATATTAGCTTATGAAATGCTTCTTTATTTCAAGTTAAATAGGCTATTTAAATTTATTTAATCTAACATTTTCTGGTCTTAAATGACTAAAGAACCCTAACAGCAAAGTTGTTAACTCCTGGAAAACAATGTCTGTAGAATGAAGGGGAATGCTGAAACACATAAGAGTTGGAAAATATTTTCTGAAAAATTGTCATGAATAGTTTGGGTTTTTTCAGTCTCTATTGCAATTACTCAATTTTGCCATCTTAGCATGAAAGCAGCCATAGACAATATGTAAATGAATAGTCTTTTCCAGTAAAACATTTTTACAAAAATAGGCAACTGGCTGGATTTGGCCTACTAGCTACAGTTTGTTGGTCCTTATTTACATAATTCCCAAAGAGAATTTTCTAGCCTATAAAAATTTCTATATCTGTCTCTTAACAACTTTTGTTAATGATTGCTAAAGAATAAAGTGGAAATGTGAAAAGGTTGGGGATGAGAAGGTGGTTCATGAGAGACACTAATCCCAAAATAGAAAAAGAGGGTAAAATAAAAAAGACATCTATCTGTAAGCTCCTTCCTTGAAAAACGAAGCCAGAGAACCAGAAGCAGCTGTGGAGGAAGAGTTTGAGTTAGGAGAAGCACAAATATACCTTCATACCTAATATACCTTCATACATGAAACAAACAGAAATATAGCCACATTGCTACAGCCATTCATACTGTTCCTCAAACAGAAATACAAGGAACAAAGTAAGTCACTTCACATCTTTTTTTAATGTACCCACAAAGATATTTTATAGCTAATGCCCACCATAAAGGAAAACATAAGAACTTCCCTTACATACATATATGGGTTGTGAACATTTTAACTTATGATTAATAAGAAAAATTTAGGCATAAACTTAAAGATGTATACAATACTTGAAATGACTGTTTTCTGCTATTTTTCTTTCCATTGAACATTAATTAGCCTATTGCTTCTGTAGAACCTTCTTTTGAGCCTAACTTGGTAAATGGGAAAGAATAAAGCATTGGCCTTTAACAATATATACAATGGCCTACATTCACATACATATATCCATGTTCAATCCAAACACGTGCACATAAAAGTAAATAAATAAGAATAAACAAGCAAGCATACAAGTCCACATTCCTATAGTAGTAGTTATTGTTTGTTTACTACTTGCAACCTCTAGGAGAAGGTGTGACTAGATGGGTGATAAAGGTGGATGGATGGAAGCAGGGTCGGCAGAGGCAGACATTAGAATGTCACAGAAATGAGAAGGCAAGAGACTAGTACCAGGTTTTGTTCCCAGCTGCTAAACATTCCTTGTAGTTCAGGAATCAGCCACCAGGGGAGGACTCTAGCAAAGTTTACTCTTTGCTCTTTTGTGCTCTCTTGTTAGAAAGCTGTGGTTACAGCAAAGGGAGACGATGAGCCTTTTTCTGATTATATGATTATGAATGCTTTGGAGATTATGGAAAATAATAAACCACAGTTGCCTCTTCACCTTTCTGCTTTCTTTTTCCTCATTTTGGGCAACACAAAAATTGTGCAGTCCATTCTAAATTAAGAAGTAAATACTGTATCCAAGTAATATCTTAAGATACACACACATACACATACACACACATACATCTAACAAAAATTTAAGTTTTCAGAAGAATCACAAAGGCTATGATAAATAGAAGAAAGAGAATGAAAAGTTTTATCTAGAATACTCCTTATTCGTTCAATTACCTTTCTCTGCAGACAACAAACTCCAGGTACAAGCATGTTCCATATCTTTTCTTCTGACTGTTCATCCTAGAAAATCAAGAAAATAGAAATAACAGCTATAATACCCTTCTACAAAATATCTTTGGTGATCTTGGTAAAGAGAGAATTCTAAGACTATATGTGGGAATGCTGTAGTTTAGAAAAAA